GGTCGCGGAGCCGGCGCGAAGCCCCCGCAGGACGGAGCGGTTCGGGGGGGGAGGGGAGGGGCGGGCGCTGATTGGCTGAGCGCAGCCAATGGGGGCGTGGGGGGCGTGGCCAGCGCCCACTCCCACGGGGGGGTTCATTAAGAAAAGGGGGAAGGGGCGGGGCCGAGGTGTCGATCAAATGGAGGGGGCGTGGCTTCGCGGAGAGGCTGCTGTCGATCATCGGAAGGGGCGGGGCCAAAACGGACAGACCACGCCCACTTTGGGGACCCCCACCCCCCAAAAAAACTCAAAGACTCGATTGGGGGAGGGGCAGCGTTTATTGACCCCATTTTGGGGGAATTTTGGGGAACTTGGGACATTTTGGGGAATTTTGGGGGAAATTGGGGAATTTTGGGGGAATTTTGGGAGATTTTTGGGGGATTTTGGGGAATTTTGGGGGAATTTTGGGTGAATTTTGGGGAATTTGGGGGAATTTTTGGGAATTTTGAAGGAATTTTGGGGACATTTTGGAGGAATTTTGGGGGAATTTTGGGAATTTTTGGGGCATTCTGGGGATTTTTTGGGGATTTTTGGGGCATTTTGGGGAATTTTGGGGGAATTTTTGGGGAATTTTGGGGATTTTTGGGGGTTCAGACCCCCCCCAGCCTGACGAGGATTTTTGGGTTCATTTTGGGGAATTTTTGAGCTGATTTTTGGGCTGATTTTGGGGAAATTTTGGGGAAATTTTGTTGGATTTTTGGGCTAATTTTTGGGCTCATTTTGGGGATTTTTGGGCCGATTTTTGGTTGAATTTTGGGGGTTTTGGGGCCAATTTTGGGCCGAATTTTGGGGCTTTTGTGGCTCATTTTGGGGCTGATTTTTGGGTGATTTTGGGGGGTCTTGGGGCCAATTTTGGGTTGATTTTTGGGGATTTTTAGGCTGATTTTTGGGTGATTTTGGGCCGATTTTGGGCTGATTTTTGGGTATTTTGGGGCCGATTTTGGGCTGAATTTTGGGTGATTTTGGGGTAGTTTTTAGGCTGATTTTTGGGTGATTTTGGGCCGATTTTTGGGGGGTTTGGGGCCCATTTTTGGGCCAATTTTGGGCTGATTTTTGGGTGATTTTGGGCTGAATTTTGGGCTGATTTTTGGCCGATTTTGGGCTGAATTTTGGGTGATTTTGGGGTAGTTTTTAGGCTGATTTTTGGGTGATTTTGGGCCGATTTTGGGCTGATTTTTGGGTATTTTGGGGCCGATTTTGGGCTGAATTTTGGGTGATTTTGGGGTAGTTTTTAGGCTGATTTTTGGGTGATTTTGGGCCGATTTTTGGGGGGTTTGGGGCCCATTTTTGGGCCAATTTTGGGCTGATTTTTGGGTGATTTTGGGCTGAATTTTGGCAGATTTTGGGGTGATTTTTGGGCCGATTTTTGGCAGATTTTGGGCCGATTTTGGGCCAATTTTTGGGGCGAATTTTGGGGGTTTTGGGCTCAGAGCCCCCCCAGGATCAGCCCCGTGTCCGGGGGCGGCTCCTTCAGCAGCGGCAGGATCTGCAGGGCAATTAGGGCTAATTAGCGCTAATTAACGCTCCATGACCCTTCACCCAGAGGCTAATTAACCCTAGCGAGCTAATTAACCCCGTTAATGAGCTCCCCTGCCCTTAATTAACGCTAATTAGCCCAGCTCTAATTAACCCTAATACACCACATAACCCCTTTTATCAATCCCTAATTAACTAATTAATCAAGCCCTAATTAACGCTAATTAGCCCAGCCCTAATTAACCCTCACAAAGTACATAACCTCCTCTTTATCAATCCGTAATTAACTAATAAACCATGCCCTAATTAACACTAATTAGGCCAGCTCTAATTAACCCTAATAAACTGCATAACCACTCCTTATCAATTCCTAATTAACTAATTAACCAAGCCCTAATTAACGATAATTAGCCCAGCTGTAATTAACCCTCACAAAGCACAAAACCTCCTCTTTATCAACCCGTAATTAACTAATTAACCATACCCTAATTAACGCTAGTTAGCTCACCTCTAATTAACCCAAACAACCCACACAACCACGCCTTTATCAACCCTTAATTAACTAATTAGCCCCGCCCTAATTACCTGCAATTAACTAGCCTATTTTCAGCTCTAATTACCCAACGAACCATCCCCTAATTAACTCCTAATTAACGCGCTAAACAACCTCTAATTACCCCCTAATATAACGCACTGAACAAAGCCTAATTAAAGCATTCATGGGCGGGGCTTAACAGCCAGATGGGCGTGGCCAAACAGAGTGTGGCTGGTGGGCGGGGCTACAGAGTTGAGAGTGGGCGTGGCTTCGCCTGTGGGAATGGGGGTGGGGCCGCTCAGGTGAGGGTGGGCGTGGCCGGGGCAGGGTGGGCGTGGCCTCACCTGCGTGAACTTGGGCTGGGGCCACTCAGGTGAGTGTGGGCGTGGCCAGGGCGGGTTTGGCCGGGGCGGGGCTGAGCGTGGCCAGGCTTGGTTGGGCGTGGCCTGGGCAATTGGGCGTGTCCATGATGGGTTGGGCGTGGCCGGGTTGGGCGTGGCCTGGGAAGATTGGGCGTGGCCTGGGCAGATTGGACATGTCCATGGTGGGTTGGGCGTGGCTGGGTTGGGTTGGGCGTGGCCGGGTTGAGTTGGGTGCGGCCTGAGCTGGTTGGGCGTGGCCAGGGCGGGCGTGGCCGGGTTGGGCGTGGCCTGGGCTGGTTGGGCGCGGCCTTGGCTGGTTGGGCGTGGCCTGGGCGGGCGTGGCCAGGGTGGGCGTGGCCCCATACCTGTCGGAACTTGGGGTGGGCGGAGTCTCGCAGCAGCAGCAGCAGCAGGCTCTCGCAGCTGCTCACGAAGGCGCCGGCCTGGCGCATGCGGGCGAGGGCGAGGGCGCGCTCCGTCTGGCTGGGACCCCTCCCCAAATTACAGCGGGACCCCCAAACCGCGCCCCAAACCCCGCCCCAAACCCCGCCCCCAGGGTGCGCTCCGTCTGGCTGGGACCCCTCCCCAAATTACAGCGGGACCCCCCAACCCCGCCCCAAACCCCGCCCCCAGGGCGCGCTCCGTCTGGCTGGGACCCCTCCCCAAATTACCTCACCAGCACGCAGGCGTGCGCCTCGATGCCGCAGAGCAGCACATGGCGGATCCGGGGGTCCCCCAGGAGGGGCTCGGCCGCCCCCGCCACGCTGAAGGCGGTTTTGGGGAGCCGGGGCAGCCCCCCCGCCCCCAGCTCCGGCACCGTGCCCCCCAAAACCTCCGGGCGCTGCTCGGCCACCAGCGCCCGCACGCCCAGGATGCGGCAGCCCTGCCACGGCATGGGGGGGTCAGTTTTGGGGGGTTTGGGGGATTTTTTCGGGGATTTTTGGGGATTTTTGGGTGTTTTTCTGTGATTTTTTGGGTGGTTTTTGTGATTTTTAGTGATTTTCCGGTGATTTTTTGCTAATTTTTTGTGATTTCTTGGTGTTTTTTTGGCGAGTTTTGGGCGATTTTTTTTGGTGATTTTTGGGTGATTTTTGTGATTTTTTGGGTAATTTTTGAGGGATTTTAGGTGATTTTTTTTTGGTAATTTTTGCGAAATTTTTTGTGATTTTTTGGTGATTTTTTGGCGATTTTTTGGGTTATTTTTGAGGGATTTTAGGTGATTTTTTTTTGGTAATTTTTGCGAAATTTTTTGTGATTTTTTGGTGATTTTTCGGCGATTTTTTGGATTTTTTGGTGATTTTCTGGTGATTTTTTGAGATTTTTTGTGATTCTTTTGTGATTTTTGGCTGATTTTTTGGGTTATTTTTGAGGGATTTTAGGTGATTTTTGGGGGATTTTTTGGCTATTTTTGACGGGTTTTGGGGTGATTTTTGGGGTGATTTTTGGGGGTGTTTGGGTGATGTTTTGGGCAGCCCCCCCGCCCCCCAAAACCTCCGGGCGCTGCTCGGCCACCAGCGCCCGCACGCCCAGGAGGCGGCAGCCCTGCCATGGCATGGGGGGGTCAGATTTTGGGGGGTTTTGGGGGATTTTTTGGGGGATTTTTGGGGGATTTTTCGGGTATTTTGTGTGATTTTTTGGTGATTTTTGGCGATTTTTTGGCGACTTTTTGTGATTTTTTTGGCGATTTTTTTGTGATTTTTCCGTGGATTTTTGGGTGTTTTTTTGAGATTTTTTGTGATTTTTCTGGTGATTATTGGGTGATTTTTGGGTGTTTTTCTGTGATTTTGGGGTAATTTTTTGTGATTTTTTGTTGATTTTTTTGTGATTTTTGGGTGGGTTTTTTGTAACTTTTTGTGATTTTTTTTGGCGAGTTTTGGGTGATTTTTTGGTGATTTTTTTGCTAATTTTTGAGAATTTTTTTGGTGATTTTTTTGTGTTTTTTTGTGATTTTTTTGGACTTTTTTTGGTGATTTTGGGGGGATTTTTTGGCTATTTTTGAGGGGTTTTGGGGTGATTTTTGGGGTGATTTTGGGGTGATTTCTGGGGGTGTTTGGGTGATGTTTTGGGGAGCCGGGGCAGCCCCCCCGCCCCCGCACGCCCAGGATGCGGCAGCCCTGCCATGGGATGGGGGGGGTCAGTTTTGGGGATTTTGGGGGGTTTTGGGGCGTTTTTGGGGGATTTTTGTGTGTTTTTGGTGTTATTGTTGGTGTCATTTTTGGTGTTATTTTGAGGTTATTTTGGGTGTTATTCTGGGTTATTTTGGTGTTATTTTTGGTGTTATTTTTGGGTGTTTTGGTGTTATTTCGAGGTTATTTTTGTTGTTATTTTTGGTGTTATTCTGGGTTATTTTGGGATGTTTTGGTGTTTTTGTTTGTGTTATTTTTGTTGTTATTTTTGGTGTCATTCTGGGTTATTTCTGGGGTTACTCTGGGTTATTTTTGGGTTATTTTTGGCGTCATTCTGGGTTATTTTTGGGGTTACTCTGGACGTTTTTGGGGTTATTTTTGGTGTTATTTTGGTGCTATTTTTGGTGTTATTGTTGCTGTTATTTTTGTTGTTATTTTTGGTGTCATTCAGGGTTATTTCTGGGGTCACTTTGGGCGTTTTTGGTGTTATTGTTGCTGTTATTTTTGTTGTTATTTTTGGTGTCATTCAGGGTTATTTCTGGGGTCACTTTGGGCGTTTTTGGTGTTATTGTTGCTGTTATTTTTGTTGTTATTTTTGGTGTCATTCTGGGTTATTTTGAGGTTATTTTTGGTGTTATTTTTGGGTGTTTTGGTGTTATTTTTGGTGTTATTTTTGGGTGTTTTTGAGGTTATTGTTGGTGTTATTCTGGGTTATTTTTGGGTGTTTTTGGTGCTATTTTTGGTATTATTTTGAGGTTATTTTCGCGGCTTGGCCCCCAGCGCCCGCCCGCCCAGGATGCGGCAGCCCTGCCCCGGCATGGGGGGGGGGGTCAGATTTTTTGGGATTTTTTTGGGGGATTTTTGGGGGATTTTTCGGGTATTTTGTGTGATTTTTTGGTGATTTTTGGCGATTTTTTGGCGACTTTTTGTGATTTTTTTGGCGATTTTTTTGTGATTTTTCCGTGGATTTTTGGGGGTTTTTTTGAGATTTTTTGTGATTTTTCTGGTGATTATTGGGTGATTTTTGGGTGTTTTTCTGTGATTTTGGGGTAATTTTTTGTGATTTTTTGTTGATTTTTTTGTGGTTTTTGGGTGGGTTTTTTGTAACTTTTTGTGATTTTTTTTGGCGAGTTTTGGGTGATTTTTTGGTGATTTTTTTGCTAATTTTTGAGAATTTTTTTGGTGATTTTTTTGTGTTTTTTTGTGATTTTTTTGGACTTTTTTTGGTGATTTTGGGGGGATTTTTTGGCTATTTTTGAGGGGTTTTGGGGTGATTTTTGGGGTGATTTTGGGGTGATTTCTGGGGGTGTTTGGGTGATGTTTTGGGGAGCCGGGGCAGCCCCCCCGCCCCCGCACGCCCAGGATGCGGCAGCCCTGCCATGGGATGGGGGGGGTCAGTTTTGGGGATTTTGGGGCATTTTTGGGGGATTTTTGTGTGTTTTTGGTGTTATTGTTGGTGTTATTTTTAGGGTTATTTTGAGGTTATTTTGAGGTTATTTTGGGGCGGTTTTGGGGTTATTTTGGGTGTTATTCTGGGTTATTTTTGGGTGTTTTGGGGGTTATTTTTGGTGTTATTTTGAGGTTATTTTGGGTGTTTTTCTGGGTTATTTTGGGGTTATTTTTGGTGTTATTTTGAGGTTATTTCTGTTGTTATTTTGGTGTTATTTTTGGTGTCATTCCGGGTTATTTTGGGTGTTATTCTAGGTTATTTTTGTGTTATTTTTTTTTGAGGTTATTTCTGTTGTTATTTTGGTGTTATTTTTGGTGTCATTCCGGGTTATTTTGGGTGTTATTCTAGGTTATTTTTGTGTTATTTTTGGTATTATTTTTGGTGTTATTTTTGGTGTTATTCTGGGTTATTTTGGTGTTATTTTGGTGTTATTTTGGTGTTATTTTGTTGTTATTTTTGTTGTTATTTTTGTTGTTATTTTTGGTGTCATTCAGGGTTATTTCTGGGGTTACTCTGGGCGTTTTTGGGATGTTTTAGTGCTATTTTTGGTGTTATTTTGGTATTATTTTTGGGTGTTTTGGTGTTATTTTTGGTGCTATTGTTGCTGTTATTTTTGTTGTTATTTTTGGTGTCATTCTGGGTTATTTTTGGGGTTACTCTGGGTTATTTTTGGGTTATTTTTGGTGTTACTCTGGGCTATTTTGGGATGTTTTGGTGTTATTTTTGGTGTTATTTTTGGGTGTTTTGGTGCTATTGTTGCTGTTATTGTTGGTGTTATTTCTGTTGTTATTTTGAGGCTATTTTTGGTGTCATTCTGGGTTATTTTGGGGTGGTTTTGGGGTATTTTTGGTGTTATTTGGGGGTTATTTTTGGTGTTATTTTTGGGTGTTTTGGTGCTATTTTTGTTGTTATTTTTGGCGTCATTCTGGGTTATTTCTGGGGTTACTCTGGGCGTTTTTGGGGTTATTTTTGGTGTTATTTTGAGGTTATTTCTGTTGTTATTTTGAGGCTATTTTTGGTGTCATTCAGGGGCGGTTTTGGGGCGGTTTTGGTGCTATTTTTGGTGTTATTTTGGTGTTATTTTTGGTGCTATTGTTGCTGTTATTTTTGTTGTTATTTTTGGTGTCATTCAGGGTTATTTCTGGGGTTACTCTGGGCGTTTTTGGGATGTTTTAGTGCTATTTTTGGTGTTATTTTGGTGTTATTTTGGTGTTATTGTTGCTGTTATTTTTGTTGTTATTTTTGGTGTCATTCAGGGTTATTTCTGGGGTTACTCTGGGCGTTTTTGGGGTTATTTTTGGTGTTATTTTGGTGTTATTTTGGTGTTATTGTTGCTGTTATTTTTGTTGTTATTTTTGGTGTCATTCTGGGTTATTTTTGGGGTTACTCTGGGTTATTTTTGGGTTATTTTTGGTGTTACTCTGGGCTATTTTGGGATGTTTTGGTGTTATTTTTGGTGTTATTTTTGGGTGTTTTGGTGCTATTGTTGCTGTTATTGTTGGTGTTATTTCTGTTGTTATTTTGAGGCTATTTTTGGTGTCATTCTGGGTTATTTTGGGATGCTCTGGGCACAGCTGGGCGCGGTCACGTGACCCCGCACCCCCCTTTTCCCCTCCTTTCCCCTCCCCCCCCACCCGCCCGCCTCCGCACCCACCTGCGGCCGCTCTCCACGTGACACCCGCGCCACGTGACCGCCGCAACTACTCGCCCCGCCCCGCCGGCTGATGAAAGCCAATCAGCGCATCCCGCTGGCCACGCCGGCCAATGGGAAGCGGCGGCGCCACAAGGTTAAGCCCGCCTCCTTCGTTCCCGCCCTACGCGGTCTCAGCCAATCGGGAGGCGTCGCTGAGCTCCGGCCAATCAGAGGATGAGGGGGGCGGGGCTTGGCGTGAGGGGAAGCCGGGATCGACCCAAAAATCGCCGGAATTTCCTCAAAAATCGCCGGAATTTCCTCAAAATTCGCCCGAAATTCACCAAAAATCGCCCGAAATTCACCAAAAATCGCGGAGAATCCGCCCCGGATCCCTCAAATCACCCAAAATCCGCCAGTTCTACCCAAAATCGCCGTTACCGGAAGGGTCCGGCCGTTACCGGCATCGGAACCCCAAAATCTCCGGGTTTGACCCAAAAATCGCCGGAATTTCGTCAAAATTCGCCCGAAATTCATCAAAAATGGCGGAAATTGCCTCAAAATCCGCCCAAAATCCGCCTCAAATCCCCAAAATTTCCATTACCGGGAGGGTCCGGCCGTTACCGGCATCGGAACCCCAAAATCTCCGGGTTTGACGCGGTCTCAGCCAATCGGGAGGCGTCGCTGAGCTCCG